CCCCCCCCCCCCCCCCCCTTTTTTTTTTTTTTTTCCCCCCCCAGGCATTTAGTGCTTTTAAGGCACAGTTATAAACACGCTGCCGAAGTGCCAGCACAAGGAGATGCGGGGGCAGGGAGAGGATCTATTTCTCCGGGTACGGAGCAAGCGTTTCTCCAAGAGGTTCACGGAGGAAACCTCGTTTTCAAGAGAAATCCGGGGACGGGAACTGTCCCTGGAGCGGCTCCCGGGGCCGTGTCCAGCCCCTCTCCCGGGCAGGCAGCGAGCTGGCCCCCCGCCGCACCTGGCCGCGCACCGCGGGCACCGCTCGCCTCCCTCGTCCCTTCACCTTTCCGTCTCCCGGAGGCTTACGGGAACCGCTTCCATCTCTCCCTCTCCACAGGAGAGCAAAGCGACACCCCACCCCACAAAACACACCGGCCCACCACAAGTCCCCGAGCACCACCATTGCATTCTGTCCCGACGGGGTTCCGCGCCGCCCGCAGCCCCAGGTCCGTGGTGGCGGCAGGTAACGCTGTCAAACAGGACGGAGTTGCGGGGGTGACAGCCTGGTTCTGACAGATGACAGGGAAGGGCAAGCTGTGCGCGTGGCGGGTGATGCCCGCAGCTACTCGACTGTGGATGAAACAAACATCCCTCACTTAGCTACTCCGTTCTCCGGGAAAACATTAAATTAGAGGTCGGCTGATGAAGGAAGGGAAGCCGCTCACCGAGAAATACGTTGGACCTGAATTGATCTTCCCTTCACCTTTGGCTGGGTTCACAAGAAAGGTCTCTAAGCCGTTCCACAGCCCCCATGGCCATTACTGCACCGAAACTTCAGCCTCTCATTAAAGCCTCTCTGCTTTTCCCCCTCTCCGCTCCAATGGGGGAAGGGCCCACTGAACTGGGTTTTAAAACAGCCTCGGTAGAACAAACAAGCGCGGGCCCACGATGCTGAAATACTCATATGAAGTGATTGAAGTCTCGGGTTTACTTTACTTCACCGAGTACTCCTTTCACGAGGAAGCAGGGAGCAACTCTTCTCCTTAATTCGGACCCTTTTCGAAATAGTCTCCTATCTCTCGACTGTGTTTTAAATCTTGTCAATGTGCGAAAGGGCCTTGGAATTCAACACTTCAAAGTTCACACTTTGTGTGAAAACTACTTCCTTTTCCAATATCCACAGGAATGCATCCATATATGGCTCATTTCTTTTTCATTTTATTACCTAAGACTTTTTTTTTAATACTTTCATTTAGAAACTGATTTTTTTTTCAACTCAGTAGTGATATTTCAGATTTAAAATAAAGGTCCATTTTAACCGCTTTGCACACATGCACACACCCCCCAAACACAGACAGAGAGGCAGATTGGATGAGGTCTGTTTCATAACAGACAAACTCTCTTTTAGGCTGGTTTCTGATGTGAGAGATTTCTAGTTTTAAGTTTCTCTGTTTTCCATTCCCTCTACACAAACAACCGCCTATAATTTTTCTTTCTCTCTTTAACCCTAGGACAAATTTCTGAGCTGTTTAATAAAGAAGAAACACCAGTTCTTAATTTTACAGCTTCAGAGAACAGGGCTGCAGCTACTGACGTATCAGTCAAATAGATTAAAGAAGACCCTTTACTTGAGGGTATGTGCCCCTGAAATCATCTTGCTCTAAGCCTCTCGGGGAGCTGGGGGGAGAGGGAGAGAAGCGAGGGATTACTCTCGTTCAAGGATCCCTGGAGAAATGTGAAGAGGTTGCGGAGGGGAAATGTCCTTTTTTTCTGTCCTCCCTTCCTCCCTCCCTCTCTCTCTCCCCTCACCCTCCCCTAACGCTTGTGTGTGTGTGTGTCTGTCTGAAACAGATCTGTCTATCGAAAATGGGCCTGGAACTCCCTCCTGTGTTGGGATTAGGTCTTGAGGGACCTGGGGTGGAGTTAGACTTCTTGCCTATTTTCATATTCATTAGAAATGGGAGGTTGCATAAGAAGTCCTGCTGAGCTTCAAGATATAAGAGCAACTTCGGGTCCCCCCTTTCAAGACAAGACAAATCAAAGGGTCGGAGGCAAAACAGCTCCCTGAGCTCTGAACGCCTTTCCCTCCCTCCTTCTTTTCCTCCCATCCACTCACTCTCCCTCCCTTGTTCACAGTCCAGCCTCTGTCTAGGGAAGAGGCTTTCAAGCAGCCTTAGATGATTATGGATTTTCTGAGCGAGAAGTTTGCCCTGAAGAGCCAGCCGAGCAAGAACAGTGACTTCTACATGGGAGCAGGAGGCACTTTGGAGCACGTTATGGAAACTTTGGACAATGAATCCTTTTATAGCAAAACGTCAGGCAGCAAATGCGTACAGGCCTTCAATCCTCTGCAAAGGGCTGAGCATCATGTGAGGCTGGAGAGGACATCACCCTGCCAGGACAACGGTGAGTCGTCGTCCCAAAGTTATTCTCCCTCCTGGAGATGTACAGGGGAGGGCAGGGGTTCTCCTGCACAGGGAGACCAAAGGTAGCTGTGCAGCTGTGCATGTGAGGGGCTGTTAGGTCGTAGTAAAAGAACAATAACAAAACCAATAATAATAAAAAATAAAATTATAATAATAGTTATTATTATTATAAAAAAAAAACCACAGGGAGAAGGCAACTGTCTACTTTAAAGAGCTCTTTTCCTTTCAGTGCAACCCTCTGGCTACTGCCTTCCATCCTGGCCTCTGCCAGAATGCGCGGCTTGCCGAGGAACACAGCGCCGGGCACTCCGGCACAGCCCGCCCGGCCCCGAGCCCACGCACCCGGGGCACCAACGAGCCGGCGGGTCCAGGCGGGTGCCGAAGGGCACGGCCGTCCCCCGGCCGCCCTCCGGCACCACCCGGCCGGCCCCTGGCCGGCCTCCGGTCGTCCCCGAGGCGCACCCCGGGCACCCCCGCCCCCGCTGCGGGCAGCGACATTTTCACCCAGCAAACTCCCGGGAAAAGCCTCCCCGGGTGTCGGTGTCGGAGGGACACCGGACACGGCCGGCTCCCCAGTGCCGTTCCAGGAAAGGGACGGAAGGTCACTTGGTCATGTTTGCTTCTTTCAAATATCGTCCTACGAGGGTAGCGAGATTCTCTCTGCCGTGTTATCAAATAATGCGTAAAGGTGATTCTTCCGAAAAATGATATAGGTAATCAAAACAATAATGTTAAACATTCCATCAATTGTTATATTTTTCTAGCCGATAGGCAAGGCGAATGTGGAAGGTTTTATTTTTGATACATATAAAAATTTTTCCTCATTATTCCAACATGATGGAAATCGCATATAGAAAAAAAAATAATTTCCTATCAGAATTGGAAAACGAGGTTAAGATCAGCTGCAATAAGGTGACCGACAATATCTTACTTTTTTGACTTCATTTAGTCACTGAAGTATCTACTTTTTTGAAAACATGCTTTTTTTTTTTGGTACGAAAAAATTCACAAGAAATAATGACATTTCTGCAAGTGCCACTTAAAAAAAAACAACTACAGAAAATTGATTTATACGTTGAAGTTTTTCTTAATTACTTCATTTAATGGGTGCCTCGAGGGCTTTGGTGCATTTCCTATCTGATGATGATAATGATATGTTGATGGTAAATATCTAAAAATTGTGTTTTGCTACTATCAGCTCGGATTGAAAAAAAACATTTTTGAGAATGTGGGAAAATCCCAAAGCAAGCTTCCTGTAGTGTGTTACATGCCATCTTTGTAGATTTTAATTTCTATAGAGTTTTAAACCGTTTTTTTCACCTTTTTCTGAGGAAAAAAAAAAAAGAAAGGTTTTTTAGATCCTATAACTTATGACATTTCCAGTGATGTAAGTAAAAATATTAAAAAATAGGAAATATTTTCATTTCCTATTAAGAACCTATTGCAGAATATTTCTTATCTCTACCATTCAGGTTTTACCTAAAGACAAATAGTTCCTTCAATCCTTATACAAAGTATATGAAGCAATCTCTTTTAATAAGTTAACATTTTGCAGAAATGCTCTGTATTTTGTAACCATAACAGACCTAATTGGAAACAATTCCACTTTACAAATCCAAGAGAATGTATATGGAAATTATTAAGCTTGTAAAGTGAAGTTAATTTTTATTTTCATTTGCTTCTTGATTTGTCAGTTTACAGGTATTTAGTTTATTTCACTGTTATTTTGTATTTTCATAAAAATAGAAGTTTTTCCATTTGCTTCCAAGTTTAAAGCCACATCTGTCAGTAGTCTGTGCCACTTCTAGGAAAATACGTTTTGGGCTAAGATTCCTTATCTGTGCAGCTTTAGTTGACATCAATTTCATGGATTATTAACTACTTTAGTGGTAGTAATGGGAGAGTACTCCAAGTACTCTTGTGTAGTCCCCTTACTCTGAAGGTTTTTAGATGATATTTTCAGATACAATTCTTAGTTAAAATTCAATGTGTTTTAGCATTTTATTCTGTCTGTGGTTAATATTGCAAAGTCCTCCTCCATGATCTCGTGTAGTCATAACACAGCCTCCTAGAATCATGTTCCTTGTGAAACTGTTTTATATGAACTCCTGAATCTAAACCCCCCCATCCTGTGCACCCCCAGCCTCCCTCCTCCCTCCCACTCCCCGGTCCCCCTGCCCCCTTAATCAATTATTTAGCCAGTTATTAACCAGTTGTTAACCCACCTTGTGTACAGTGAACTACGGGATTACTAAAGTGGAAGGACAGCCTCTTCACACAGAGCTGAGCAGGCCCATGGACAATTGCAACAATCTTAGGATGTCTCCAGTGAAAGGGATGCAGGAGAAGGGGGACCTGGATGAACTTGGTGATAAGTGTGACAGCAATGTCTCCAGTAGTAAGAAGAGAAGACACAGAACAACTTTCACCAGTTTGCAGCTGGAGGAACTGGAGAAAGTATTCCAGAAAACTCACTACCCTGATGTCTATGTAAGAGAACAGCTAGCTCTGAGAACAGAGCTCACTGAGGCCAGAGTCCAGGTAGGAAACAAACTTCAGCATTTCCATGACAAATTGTGTATTGTAGGAACTGGTAAATGACACTCTTGGGGATTGTACGAAAGCCTGTAAAGCTAAAGTAAGCTGCTCATTCTGCTTTATTTCTTTATGGATAAGAGCTGTTATGCTGCAGTACTAAAATAACTTGTTATTTTTTTAAATAGCTTGTGTTGCTCTTCTAGAAACTTGTTTAAAGGATGAGAAAACATCATCGATAGTTAAGCTGTCTTGATCTCTTGTAGAATACCAGGCAGTGAATATGTAAATTGTTATACATAAAGATCCCATTAAAGAGATGTGTTGCATATAGTTCAGATTGATGACTATGCAGAACTCAGACACAGAGGATTCTGTGTGTGTTACAGCATGAAAAGCACAGTCTAAAAAGCAGTCAAATTCCTTTTTTCTATCCAATGACTATGTAGTGAAAATACACATATATAAATGTGTATATGTTTATGCCTGTGTGAAGCAATCCTTTCATCTCTGTTGTATGGAATGATGTTAGAAATCACAAAATTAGGAGGAACATTTGCTGATTTTTAAGCTTGTATAACTGATGAACAACATTATTCTAGTTTTTGGGATGAAACATACTGTTGATCACTTAGTGCATTATTTGAGTATCTTCACTGCGTACAAATGTGATTCACTCAGTATGTGCTCGCACAGTAATCTCAACAATATTTATAGCTTTGGATGTGTAATGGTGAGAAAAGAAGCTAAGTATCCAGGAAATGCAGCCTTTCCCCTTTATAGAGATATTCCATAAGGAAATGGTATGAGCCACATTTTGCAAGTTTATCCTAATTTTAGATATCTTCCCTGTTCTGGTAACAATCATCATTTCAATGTAGAGAATAGCACTCCTGTTGATTCTTACAGACTGGGATTAATTTTTTTAATTTAGTGACTTGAATATGATAACAACTTCACAACTTGTAATTAAACACATACTCACACATGCATATAAAGAAATAGATACCACTGCACATGCATACAAACTGAAATTAAATCAGAATCACTTTCAGAAACAAAGTCAGCTAATTAATTTTATAAAGAAGTGTTCTTTTCATGTCTGTTCAAACAGACATCATATTCACTGTTGTCATCAGAAAAGAGAGTCCAAAACTATGTGTTCAGTTACATTGATGCAATATCAGCAATGCTGACAGAATTTATTTCAGTGGCTTTTAACTCTTCAGGCTCTGTGCAATCCCTCTCCTTCTGAATTTGACTTAAAAAAAAAGCTTGCATAATGTTAAAACACTGTTCTAACAAATGCATAATTCTGGAATTTAGAGAACTACTTCAAGAACAAATTAATAGTCAGAACAGGGAGAGGAGAATTGGATTACAGTGCCAACTGACTTTTTATCACTTTTTTTCCCTAAGTTTTAGAGGCTTCATATGCCAAGAGTAATTAAAATAGAGAGTAAATGAAAAATATATATGTCTGTACTAGACTTTCACACATTTCTATTTCTCTCTTATTTAAACACGCTTTTCCCTTTCTTAAAAGATAACTGATCTTTGCATTTCTCATATGCTAAATATGAAAGGATATGGTGATCATTTCTATCCAGAGTAACAGGAGTATTCCATCACAAGATTAAGCAATTTAAAAGGCCTTACGTCACTAGAGGCAAGCATCTGGCAATTCAAGGATAACAAGCAGCAGATTTCTACATTGCTTTGTGGAGGCAAATGGTTACTTTATCTCTGCCAAGAGTCAGTTTCTAGTAAAGTGGTGTAAACAGAAACATTTTGGGGGATTGTCAAAGGAAAAAAATGTGTGCTTTTTTTCTCGTTTAGTTACTATAAATTCAAGCAAATTGTTTGATTTAGTTTAGCACAGTGATCAGCTGGAGACCTTACCCACAGTTCCCTTCACTGCCATTTCATCAACATCCAATTTAGTATTTGTCCTGCACACATGCGGAGAGAGCCAACCTGAATCTAATTTATCGAAGTTGTTCTCTTTCCTGCTGCATATCAGTGCAGTAATTGGTACCCATTTTAAAGAGATTATCAAGGTCTTTTTTCAGTGAAAGAGACTCATGACTAAATTCTCTTATCTTGTCCCTGACCACTCCTGTGGACACAGGAGAATTTTTTTTTTGCCTTTTTTTTTCTTTTTGTTGAACCTCAGGCATCATAAATAACACAAATTGACCAACAAAGTCCCTAACAATATATACTCAGGAGTTACATGCATGAGACTTGCTTTGATTGCTGAGTACATTTTGAAAGATTGCACATACTAAATCTCCAACATGTCCTTGAGAATTAAAATGAGCAAAACTATGCCTGATTGCTTAAGCAGCATCAAAAGACAGTTGAGTTCTCCAAAGATCAATGCAAGAATGGAATTATGTAACAGTGTTATTCTAACTATCCCAGAATCTGGGATCAGAAAATATCCCTCAAAATACAGGAATTGTCTATACAAAAAGCCTCTGTTTAAGTAGGTATATATCAAAATTGATTCATGATCAATTTAACAGGAAGACTAACCAATCACATTGTTTCCTTTTAAAAAAATAATGGTTCTGTTAGTAGAGTGACTTCTTAAAAATGCTGTAATGAATATGCTTATACCAGAACAATAAAGACTTGTTGGATATTACTTTTATACAGTGTTGTTTTTCTTAGCACTTCCTTTATTTTATCAGCATAAGTCTTAACCAGTCCAAACTAAACTGTCTGAAATAAAAAATAAATTTTGAAAGCCATGAGACAATGACAGATATCAGTAAAAGAAAGAAATGTGTAAATAATAGGTTTTGATATAACACTCGACACTCAAAATATTAGAGAACAGTCCAAATGCTATAAAGAAATTCAAGCATAAAGAAGTTAGCTTTTAATTGACAAGAAAGCATTCAGTTCTAAATCATTTCATAGTCCTAATTATTTCATAGTCTAAATGTAAAATACAATTCTTTAGTTTTCCATTATCAGAAAGAGATATCACCTAACAACACTGTGGAAAAAAAGTCACAATGTTTTTAAAACTGTCTGTGTCATGGTGAATTTTTATTTTCATCCTGCCTTTTAAGCCTTCCCTATAGAAACCTTTCCTGCAGTGCCAGTTTTTACTGTCCTGGTGCCAGTTTTTTCTGCCTTTTCATTACCGCACTTAGTAAAGATTATGTACACCTCTAAGAGGCAGATTATGGGTAGTCATAACAAGTTAGTGGGCATAAGAAATTAAGAGAAAGCTTCGTTACAATTTGACTTGCTATGGACTGATCTTTCTCAAGTGGGTTGTTGCTTTTGATTTTGTTTTGGGTTTTTTGGTTTTGGGTTTTTTTCTGATAATAGAAAGAAAATAATATGTACTTTTAAAATAGACAGGAATAACTTGAGCAGGTTTGACACTGACAAGATTGAAACCACAAGAAATTAATTCTCAGATGGAAAATTGCTCTTTCTTAGATAAACAGAAATTTTCAAAGCTACTGTCCAAAATCTCTTGGCTTTTTCCTAAAATTCTTTGCACAGTATGTAACTGAGTTAACATTAGGACTGCTTCCTTGTATACTATAGGTTTGGTTCCAGAATCGAAGAGCAAAATGGAGGAAAAGAGAACGCTATGGTCAGATCCAGCAAGCTAAGAGCCATTTTGCTGCCACATATGATATATCTGTTCTTCCAAGGACTGACAGCTACCCTCAGGTATGGCAAATACCAAGTAGTACTTTGGTTCTGCATTTAGCAACTGTCTTAATAACTCTGGTCTTGTATGCTTTGCTAAGATGAGGCATAAACTATGTGATCTCTAGACAACTTCTTTCTGATATAGTAAACATGCACCATTTCTTTATGGACCTTGACAGACCATTAAATAGAACAAGTCTACTAGCATGAAAGCATATTATAGCCATGTACAATCAGAATTGAATATATATGGCTGGGAGAGGGAGGCAGAGAGACAAGACTGCTCTTTTAGACAGATGTAGTTTGTTTAATTTGTTTTATTCTTTTTCAGTTCCCTGTTAGCATATAGTAAGGTATACTGTGTAATAAGACTATAATCTTCTGTCTCTGGTCTCCAGTCCTATGGTTTACTGCCTTGCCTTGCTCTCTGCTATTGTTTTTCTGCTTGCTTGTTTTAGCACATTGAATACTTTTATTCTGAAGCCATTGTTTTGCATGTAAAAGCTTCCCACTGCTTTTACCACATAATTAATAAAAAAAAGCACCATACAAAGCAAAATATCTTCCATGGGTCCCTTCCACTGCTGGTTTTTTTGTTGCTCTCCTACTTCATTAAGTAGCAGAATCTTTGCCAGTCTTAGGAATATGCTTATATTCTATGTGGGTTTGCTTTGGTCATGCTCTGCATTCCCCCAGGCTGGGGGAAGAGTGGCTGGAAAGTGGCCCAGTGGAAAAGGACATGGGGGTGCCAGTTGACAGCCAGCTGAACATGAGCCAGCAGTGTGCCCAGGTGGCCAAGGCGGCCAATAGCATACTGACTTGTATCAAAAGTAGTGTAGCCACCAGGACTAGGGAAGTGATTGCCCCCTCTACTCAGCACTGGTGAGGTCACACCTTGAGTGCTGTGCCCACTTCTGGGCCCCACACTACAAGAAAGACATTGAGGTGCTGGAGCTTGCCCAGAGAAGAGCAACAGAGCTGGTGAAGGGTCTGGAGGGTGTCATCTGAGGAGCAGCTGAGTGAGCTGGGGTTTTTTGGCCCGGAGAAAAGGAGGCTCAGGGGTGACTTTATCACTCTCTACAAGTACCTGGAAGGAGGCTGTAGCCAGGTGGGGGTCGACCTCTTCTCCCAGGCAAGAAGTGACAGAAGAAGGGGACATAGCCTCAAGCTGTGCCAGGGGAGGTTCAGGTCGGACATCAGGAAGAATTTTTTCCCTGAAAGGGTGCTTAAGCATTAGAGTGGTGGAGTCACCATCCCTGGAAATGTTCAAGAAACGACTGGATGTGGCACTTAGTGCTGTGGTTTAGTTGGCATGGTGGTGTTTGGTTAAATGTTGAACCTGGTGATCTTGGAGGTCTTTTCCAACCTTAATGATTCTATGATTCTATGAATGTAATTAGCTTTGAACCAGAGGTTTATGGCCCATGTGTCATCTACCCAGCTTAATGTGCTTTACCTCTGAAGAGGATGCACATTACTAAGTTTGGTGCCTGGGCCAGAGCTGCTTTGTGCTCCATCAACTCAGAACACGGACGTAACCAGTTCAGCCTGTTTTTATTTTATAGTGTAATAGTGCATTAACCCAAATTACATCAGCAACCGCTGCACTACACATTCTGTGTTTAATTAGGTGGACACAATACTTATTTGAGACTTACCTAGGTAAAGGTGTGCAAAAAGATCTTAGGTACGCGTAGGTAGATTTACAGAGAGATGCACGGTCACTCACAGATCTCACTCAAGTTGTTTAGCTCTCTTTTGAAGGCCTTTCTGACTTAACTGTAACGTCACAACAAATCACACAAGGAACCATGCATAAGCCTTGGGATTTCTAGACTAAATTTTGTGCCTGCAAGCTCATCTTGTAATTTTAGTAGGATGTCATCTACAAATTTTCCCAATTGACAGAAGTTTCATTAGCAAAAGATAATGGAATAATGCATGTCATTGATAAGAACTTAAAATTATTGTTTTAAAAGTAATGTTTTTCAAAAATTCCACAGTTTAAAATTATTTGATAATATGTGTGTAAGCCATAAAATTCTAAAACCAATAAAATATCTATTCCATACTTTCAGGCTGTTAAAAAGATAAGTGAGTTCACTGCATTTCTATTTACAGTTTTGTTAAAAAAATGTCATCCTAGACTGATGACATACCAGAGTTTCAACCTGGAAAGCATTCTATTATTAATTTATAAATTCTTAAAAATAGGAATTGAAATGCAAATGTTGGTCCCATAATCTTAAATCAAGCATCTCTAAAATATATACACATATAAAATGTATACTCATTCATAAACACAAATATGTTGTGCTCACCTACGAACACAGATTAACACACTACAGGTAAACAGAGGCACAAACATGTACCTGAGTCTAGTCACCTGCTTAAGAAATTTGCGTTGTACTGTAGTGTAGTTCAAGAAGCTAAAGGAGCTTCAAGGAGCTAAATGAAGGTCTGAGTCCTCTTTACATTGGCTATTTCAGCTGAGTGCTTGCATGTATAGTTTGGCTACATGATAAAAACATAGTACCTTACTCTTCAGCGAAGAAGGTGGATGCTTTGCTGTATACTGGAATATGAATAAGTATCCAGGTAATTATCACAGAGCATTCAATAAAAATTCATGTTCTTGCTAACCTGGTGGTAATTCTTTATAGTTGTCACATTCTTAAATCCTTACCTTCAGAAAAACTGCGTCTGTGTAATATACATGGTATTTCCAGTGAGAATGCTTGAGAAAATAAAAATCTGTTTTAAAAAAACAATGACCACTAGCAGCACTAAATTCAAATGTTTTGAACTAGATGCCCATTTTTGAATGACTTACTTATGGAAAATAAATATACAGTACATGACTTGCTATAAATTCATCCATCTGTCCCACAGTTCAGGCAGAAAGAGGTATTTAAAATTATCTGCATGTTTGATTTTAGTGTCATAGATTGATTTTCCAGACAATTCCATTATTTCACTGTAGTTAATGCAACAAAAAAAAATCAAATATCTTTTTTTATCTTTTTTTTTTCTTTACTGTTATTCCCCCCCCCCCCGTGTACAAACACTCCTATTGCGACAATGAAATAAACAAATATTAGACAAGCTTTACCATACTTCTGAATAAATAGTTTTAATTCGGGACTGTGGAACACAGATCACTAGAGCTTATTTATGAAGCCTTTATTAAAACAGGGAAAAACAGATTCCCTGTGGCTGGAAAAAAGTATAGGATGAATATTGAAAAAGGATGAAACCATGAGATGTTTACAGCTGTGTGGCAGAAGGAATGGGAACAAATGTGAATTTCTGGTGTGCATTATAAAGATTTGCAGCCTGAAGATTTTCTTCTCTGAATCTCACCGTGGATATGTTGACAAAACACATCCCGCTTACATTCCAGCAGAAGCATCAGTCTCTTGCAGTCAACAGAGGGTGTCATGGAGACTTCTGCTTAGTCTTTTCACCAATTATCTTCATCAAATACAAATTAAGAACATGATGCTGCTATGCATTGTGTGACTATATAAACCTGAAAAGTTTGTCCTGTGGGAAAATGATTCTTTCAACTTATTTCAGATAGAAGTTTGGCTCTGAAACAGAGGATGGTTGAAGTTGGAAGGGACGTCTGGAGGTGGTTTGGTCCAACACCCGTTTCTATAATCCAGTCTAATTTTGCTATTAAATTGCACATCTTTATCTTCAAAATAATAACAATTTGGGTTTTTTTTTTTTGGAGATCATATTTGTTTGCATTGCTCTTTCAGTCTAACCTTCATTATTTTTACAGTATATTGACTTTAGCTGTTGCTTATTGTGTAAAATATTTGTTCATCTCTCTGCCAAGAATTTCAATATCTCCTGAACTGCTCAAATTCTGCATGCATACATCTTCCATTAATTATAATGGATTACAAAGGAGGGCAATTAGTGCAATATTGTAGCACAATCATCTGTTATTCACATGTTTTTTTCAAGGCTTTAATAACATTATGCTGAAAAACAGATTTTTCTAGTAAAATGTTACACACAGTGCTTTTCATTCATTTTAGTAAAAGGTTTCAGTTTCACTAGTTTCAATACTTGAACTTCAAGATTCTCTTGCAGATGCAGTACATTGTGGTCTGTCATCTTAAGTGTACTCAGAAAATAATGTACTGATTAAAACAAATATCCCAGACAGTCTGAGCCTTATTAATTAGCAATATTCTACTGATAGTATGAAAGTTAAGAGGGAGCATCTTACCATCAGTGGGGAATGAAGATTCACTTTATGGGGAAGTGAAATCTTACTTCAACTCACCTCAGTAAATGTTAGTAAACAAGCAATACTTAATTCAGTCACCTAGATACAGTGTCTAGTGTTATTAAAGATGTCTCAGGATATACAAAACATTGTTAGAGTGCTGATGAGCAGGATTTGCAAGAAGGATGCACCCTTCACAGTAGGCAACTGTGGTCAGATAAATATTAGACATTTGTATTTAGGAAACTTAACAGAAGGGACTTTTTATAGTTGGCAAAAATCTGAACAATTATTTTTTTTTTATTTCTAAGGTATAAGGTATAAAATAGACAAGATGATCTCTAAAAATGTATTTTTAGTTCTGATGTCTTGTTCAGCTGCAGTCATCTGTAGTTATATGGATCTATATATGATGTATTGGGAGAGGAACAATAAAAAGCTTCTTTAGCCTTATAATTCTCTTACCTTATTGGTCTTTATTTCACTACTTTTGCCATCCTGTTAGTGGGAAGGCTACTGTTACAAAGGGTACTTGATCTCCTCAGATTTGATGCTTAAGCATGAGAAGTAGCAAGGCACCAAAAAAGCTGAGACAAAATTTCATTTTACCCCCTCCTTATTCACACTGAAGAGTGAAATTTGATCAAAAGCCTACACTATTATAACACAGATTTCCAATTTTCCCCGTATAAGTTAAATTTATAAAGATGTTATCTTTATAATTAAGTGCACCAGTATGTAAATAAACATTAAATTGTATAACTGAAAAGCA